CCTGGAGCTCCCATCTCCTCCCTGGGCGGGGTCCCAAGGACCCACCTGCTGATGACGTTCTCCTGCAGCGGCTTCTCCTTGACCTTGGGTGGTTTCTTCTCCTTCTTCTTCCCTTTTCCCTCTTTTCCTGCAGGGAACTTTTTCACCAGGATGGAGCAGGGTGAGGGAGAAGGAAGTTTATGCCATAGGGATTTGGGGTTTTCGTTTTTTTGGGCCATAAAACTTTTGGGACAGTCCCAAGGGCCACCCCAGTGGGGGGATAAAGAGGTACCTGCACTGAACATTCCGGCTCCTTCTTCCCAATCTTTGGCCTGAGCTCCTTGGGCACCTCCTGCCCTTTCTCCAACTCCTTCTTTCGCTTCCTGGGAATGAGGAAAAACTGATCCCACTGAAGCCAAGCAGGGAAACACCCACAGCAAACCCCTTAGTGGGGAAAACAACCCACAGTGGGATCCCACACTGCCCAACCCTTATTTCCAGCAGCACCAATGAAAGGGCTCCCAAAAGGAAATTTAGAGGGATTTTTCCAGCTTGATCCCTTTAGGGCTGAAATTCCCAAGAAATCCAGAATGATCATGGAATGCTGGAGCTCCCCCCCCCCAAAAAAAAAAAAATCCCCTGCCACACCCCACAGGACCCACCTGCTGCTCTTCTTCATCCCACTGTCCCTTGAGACTCCCATGGCTCCCTCATCCAGCAATTCTTGGGAATGTTAAGGCAGAATCCTCAAGGATGTCACTGCAACAGCAGGGAGACACCTCAGGGCTGGTAGAATCCCAAATTTTCTCCTGGAGAAAACCCCAAGAGCTCAACCCCAAAGGGTCAAGCTCAGCCTTAAGGAGGACCCAAAGAGACCAAGAAATGGCAAATCCTTGAGTTCAGTCACCCTTGGAAGTGATAAAAATAAAATTCCTACTAAAAAAATCCAAGGAAATCTCCCCCAAAACGTGAATTTCAGGAGGAATTCCCAGCTCCCACCACGAGGGAAAATAATTCAGAGAGACAGGAGGTGAATTGAGGTCTTGGCTCCTCTTCCCAAACCTGAGCTGGGCCACCATCCCCTCCCTTTCCTCGTGGCTGCAACATCCAGAGCCTCCCAAATCCCTGTTCCCCATGGAAACCCAGAGGATGGAGGAAACAAGGATCACATTAAACACCCAAGTGGACCCAATCCACGAGAAACCTCCCCCAGTGAGGAAAAAAAAATGGGATTTCTCAAGGCAAGAAGTGCCAAAGCCTCATGAAACACTATCTGAACTTTTTGAGGAGTAGAAAACACTTGGAAAACTTCCATGTTTTCCTAAACTTTGTTGCCCCAGCAGCACCCAGAGCTGCTGGTGGGACCAACCTCCTCCCCCTAAACCCACCCACGAGTGGAGAGGACCTCACCCAGCTGCTTTCCCGAGGGAAATTCCCCTCCTGCAGGAAGTTTACTTAAAAGCCCCCCCTTCCCCTCCCCTCCCCAGCCCGATGGGAGGCTCCCAGCCCAAAATGCACCCTGGGAAAGGAAGTTTTTAGCTCCAAATTTCGGGAGACCCTCGAGGGGAGGGTGTTTTGCACCCTTCAGGTGGAGAATGGGGCCAAATACAGGGATTTTAAAAAACCAATTTGGGAAAACCCACCTTGCAGGACCCCCCCCCCCCTCCACCTCTTCGATGACAGAATTAAATTAATCCCAAATCCAGCTGTTTTGCATCCCTCAGGTTGGGTTTGGAGGGGTCCTGGAGCCCAAACAGGGGGTGCAGAGCCCAAATCCCACAGGACAGTGGTTCCTGGTGCCTCCAACCCTCATCCTGGAGCCCTTCCCGAGGGCTCCTCTCCAGCCCTATTCATGGGATGAGTCCATTGCTTCCACCTGCCCGGGGTGCTCAGCAGGAACCTCATTGCAGCTGAGCATGGAATGGTCTCCTCCATCCTCTGCCAGGTCGATGGAGAACACCTGGGAAGGGGATGGAGCAGAGGGACAACGACAGGGGTTGGCACTGCAAAGCTGTTCCCAAATTGGGAATGTTCACCTGGAGAAGGGAAGGATCCCTGAGAGCCCCTTGCAGGGCCTAAAGGAGCTCCAGGAGAGCTGGAGAGGGACTGGGGACAAGGGATGGAGGGACAGGACACAGGGAATGGTTTCAAAGTTAATTATGGGAGTTTTAAATGGGATTTTGGGAAGGAATTCTTCCCTGGGAGGATGGGGAGGGACTGGAATGGAATTCCCAGAGAAGCTGTGGCTGCCCCATCTCTGGAAATGTCCAGGGCCAGGTTGGAGCAACCTGGGACAGTGGGAGGTGTCCCTGTTCGTAGTCAGGGAGTTGGAATGAGAGGGTCTTTCAGGTCCCTTCCAACCCAAACCATTCCAGGATTCCTGGAGGGATCTGCCCGTGCTTTGCACTGGGGTGTGAAAAGCAGGCTCGGAATCTCCTTCCTCTTCAACTTCCCAGCCTTGTGCCTCCCCAAACAGGGTTGGATTTTTTTATCCAGAGGCTCATTCCATCCCTCCAAACCTCTCCTGGCCCACTGGGAATCATCTCCGCTTGGGCAGAGCTTTGGTGGCCCTGGATTGGGAGAATCTCCTCCCAGTGGCAACCTCACCCCTGGGGCATCCTATAATAATCTCTGCCAGCCAGAGGGATCTTCCAGGCCCATTTCAAGCCAAACCATCCTATAATTCCAAGAAAAAAAGCTGGCTTTGGGGTCAGTCAGAGTCGTTGCTCCCTGCTGAGATCCCCACTGGGGACGAGTAGCGGGGACCACTCGTTCCCTTGGGAAGGAGCCGGGAGCGGAAAGTCCTGGAGGCAGGGCTGGCTCTGGGAAAGCCTCTTTGATCCCTGCTGCACCACCCCGGGAAAAATGCATCCAAGCCACCTTTCCTGCTGGATGAGAAAAGGTTTGGGAAGGGAGCAGGGAAGGACGACTTCGTGCCGGGGCTTGTTCGCCCTCGGCCGCCTCCTTCCAGCCCAGGGCCGGCCTTGTATTAAATGTGCTCCCATTTTCCATGGATTCCAGAGGATTTGTTCAGCTTGGGGAAGGTTTCTACCAAGCTTGAGATCTCCAGGGTGGGAAACAGTGGGATTTAGAGGGTGGATGAGGTGGGAGAAGTTTGGATCAGCTCCAGTTGCTCGTCCGTCCAAGCCAAGCACAACGTGGGTCAAAGCTCTGGATGGTTAAGATGAGTTTTAGAGGTTTGGATGGATTTTCCCTTGGGAATTGGGGGGGATGGAAGCAGGATGGCTCCATCCAGAGAATGTGGACCACAAAGTGGGGCTGGATCATCCTTGGGGAAAACTGGAATGGGGTCTCAGCACAGTTTGGTGGCACCACAGTGAGCAGTTTGGGGATGTGTCAGTGCTGATATCCCAGGATTTCCTAATCCATAATTCCACCTTTCTCATCCAGCAGCTCCTTCTGGATCGGGAAATCCAGGAGGGAGAGAAAACCTTTCCTAATAAATTCCCTTCTCCAGGATCACACAATCCTTGAAGCCCCAGTGAGGAAAAAAATGACTGGGAAAGGTGGAATTCGGTTTAATATGTTCAGACACTTATAAATATGAATAATAAATATAAATTATTTATAAATTATATAAAGTATATTAATTATGAATAGAAATAATAAAGGTAAATTATATAGAAATTATATAAAAATACATGAAATAAAAACATAAATAAATACAAATAATAAATATAAAAAGTTCAATGGTGGGCTAATTTTTCCCCCTCATTAAACAGTTGGATCTGCCTGGAATTCCTTGTGTCCCATTGACATCGGTGGGATTCATCCCACACAAACCTGGGCTCATTAACTTAATTAAGAGCCAGGTAATGACTTAAGGACCTTCTTGTCCCTAAGAGGGGGGGGATACGGGGCAGGATTTGCCTGGATTTGGCTAGAAAAAGGAATAAACTAGATTTAATTTTATTTCTTTATTTCTTTATTTTTATTTCTCTTTACAAGAGAAACCCCCGATGGTTTTGGAAGGGCAAGGGCACAGCTGGCCCAGATGTTGCAGGAATGCTCCAGGTTGGAGGTGGGGCCATCCAGATGTGCCCGGGGTGGGAGTGGATGCTGGACCCAGATGTGGCACGGGAGGCGGGAGGGGTGCCCAGATGTGCTGGGGAAGGTGAGGGGGTCCCCTGGTCGTAGTTGGGCTCATCCAGATGTGCCCGGTGTGGGAGTGGACACGGGCCCAGATGTGGCACGGGAGGTGGGAGGGGCGCCCAGATGTGACGCGGGATGGCGAGGAGCTGCTCTTGTTGTAGGTGGGGATTGTCCAGATGTGTTTGGGATGGTGGGGGGGGGTACCTGGTTGTAGGGGGGTCATCCAGATGTGTCCGGGCTGGGAGCGACCCCGCTCCCAGCTGTTACTCAGAGGGCGGAAGGGGAGCTCAGATCCAGATGTGGCCGAGACGGGGAAGGGGGGGCGGCTCCCGGTTGGAATTGGTCTCATCCAGATGTGGACGGGGGGGAGGGGATGGGCACAGACGCCCGTCCAGATGTGCGGCGGGGGCGGGGCCGCTCCCAGCGGCGCCCATGGGCGTGGCCTCAAGCCCCGCCCCCGATGACGTCATCCGCGTTCTAATTCCCCCCGTTGCCACAGGCAACGGCCTCTCCGGTCCAGCCCCCTCCCTGCCCGCGCTCCCATTGGGCGGCGCCGCCGTCAATCATCGGCTCCCCGCTCTCCCATTGGCAGGCGGGGGGTTACGCCCCGCCCTCCCCGCCCCGCTTATCCCCCGCGCCGCGAGGGATCCGCCCCCGGGATCGCGCCGGGATTTGGGATCGGCGGGGCCGCCCGGGGGCTCCGGGGGCGAGCGGGGACACCGAGCCGGGAGTTTGGGGGCGTCCGAGGTGGGGTATGAGCGCTGAAGGGTTCGGAGCGGGGCGGGGATCGGCTCTTTAAAGGAGTTTGGGGGGGGTCGCCGTGGCTGGAGCATCTCTAGAAAGGGGGAGTTTGGGGGGGTCCCACCTTCCTTTTGGGGGGGGTTCTGTAAGGGGAGGGGGTTTAACCCCTGTGGAGAGCTCCCCAAGGTGGGTTTTGGGGGGTTTAACCCCCCTTTGCAGTTCGGGTAGCTCTGTAAGGGGAGTTATTGGGGGTTTAAACACCCCCTTTTTTGGGGGTCACTCTGCAAGAGAAGGGGGGTTTAACCCCCGCACCCCAACTGGGGAAGTTATTGGGGGGGATTTGAAACTTCTCCCGCTATTTAGGGTCGTTCTGCCGGGGGGGAGGTTTAACATCCCCCTCCCATTTAGAGTAGTTCTCTAAGGGGGTTTTGGGAAACTTTAACCCCCGTCCCGAGCTGGGGTAGCTCCGAAAGGGGAGTTATTGGGGGTTTGAACCCTCTCCTCCCTTTTAGGGGAGCTCGGAAAGGGGGTTTTGGGGGGGTCACCCCCATCTGGGGTAGCTCTGAAAGGAGAGTTTGGGGAGTTTAACCCCCCCCTCCCCCCCAATTTAGGGTAACTCTACAAAGGGGTTTGGGAAGATTTAAACACCTCCTCCTATTTAGGGCAGCTCTTGCAAGAGGAGTTTAACTCCCCCTCTAAATATTTAGGGGAGTTTTTGGGGTTTAACTCCCCCCCCACACACACCTGGAGTAGGTTTAGAAAGGGGTTTGTGGATTTTGGGTCCACCCCTTTCCCCTGGGTTATCTCTGCAGGGGCTTTTGGGGCTCACATCTGGCCAGATGTGAAGTGCAGGGGGCTTTCCAGAGCTGGGGTTAGAGGGGGTTTAAACCCCCTCCCAAACCTAGGACAGGACTGGGGTCTAGTCCAGAACAACCAGAGCAGCCCAAGGAGGGGTCACTGAGCCCCCAAATCTCTGTGTGGGGTCGAGAGGAGCCCCCAAATCTCTGTGTGGGGTCGAGAGGAGCCCCCAGCTGTGGGCCCAGCCCCCCCACCCTGTGGATGCTGCACCCCTGGAGATGATGCCCCCCGAGGAGGAGAACCTGGGTGGCCCCAGGAAAGGGGACAGGGCCGGTGGCCTCGTCCTCCTGCCCGGCCCCAAGAGCGGCAGCGCTCGGAAGGTGAGGCTGGGGATGGTCAGGGGGGCTTTTGGGGGTCAGGGGGTCAGGGTGGGTGCCCTGCAGGATCCAGGGGGCTGGGTTGGTGTCCCCATGGGATCCATGGGAATCTGGGACCATCCCTTGGGCGTCAACCCCCACCCCTGGGCTCCAAGGGGCTTTGGAGTTGCAAGAAAACCTGGATAAATGTTAATTTTGGGGCTATTTCGGTGTGTTTCCCATTAGTTTTGTCCCCTGGGAGCCAATGGAATAATTAATGATGGATCTATAATAATTAATTAGTGACGGGGGGGGTGAAATCCCTGGGGATTGCCCTCAGGCTGCCACCAACCCCAATCCATCCCTGCCATCACCACCCGCCCCTGGGCTCGAAGGGGCTTTGGAGTTGTAAGAAAACCTGGATAAATGTTAATTTTAGGGCTATTTCGGTGTGTTTCCTGTCACTTTTGTTCCCTCTCATTATTCCCCAATGGAATATCAGGGATCCCTTTTTTGGGGTGCAGGCCTGACACCACCCTGGGGGTGCTTTGATCCCAATTCTCCCCATATTTTGGGGTTTTTCCTCCTTCCTGCCCACTTGGGTGGTGCCCATCCCTCCTCTGGCCCTTGTTGGTGCTGGCCAAGGTGTTGCTTCCTGGCAAGTTTTCCCTCGGGAATTGCCCCTTCCTGGAAAGTTTGGCTTTGGGGGTGAGATGGGACAGGTAGACCTGCTGATTAAAGTTGTTTAATTAGTGACAGGGGGGTGAAATTCGTGGGGATTGTCCTCAGGATGCCACCAACCCCAATCCTTGCCTTCCCTTGGGAATCAGCTCCCACCCCTGGGCTCAAAGGGGCTTTGGAATTGCCAGAAAACCTGGATCAGTGGTGGGTTATGGGGCTGTTTCAGTGTTGGTTTTGTGCCCTGAGAGGCAAAGGAATAAACCTGCAGAAACTCTGTAAAACCCCAAACTAAACCCCAAACTGAACTTCAGACCCCCAAACTGAACCCTAAACTGAACTTCAAAACCCTAAACTAAACCCTAAACTGAACTTCAAAACCCTAAACTGAACCTCAGACCCCCAAACTAAACCCTAAACTGAACCTCAGACCCCCAAACTAAACCCTAAACTGAACTTCAGACCCCCAAACTGAACCCTAAACTGAACTTCAAAACCCTAAACTAAACTTCAGACCCTCAAATTAAACCCTAAACTTACCCTCAGACCCCCAAACTAAACCCTAAACTGAACTTCAAAACCCCAAACTAAACCCTAAACTGAACATCAAAACCCTGAACTGCACCCCAGACCCCCAAACTAAACCCTAAATTAAACCTCAGAAAACCTGAGTTCTTCTTGCAAATCTGTAACTCCCAAACCTTGTCCTTCAGCAGAGCAAAAAAAAAACCACCTGAAACCCCCCAAAAAAACCCAATAATAAGAAAAAAACCCAATAATAAGAAAAGCCAGGCTGGTGAAGGGATTTTTTCCTGGAGGGAGGGTTGGGATGGCCCAGAGATCAATCTGATCCCGAGTCACTCGGGCATCAACTCCCACCCCTGGGCTCAAAGGGGCTTTGGAATTGCCAGAAAACCTGGATCAGTGGTGGGTTTGGGGGCTGTTTCAGTGTTGGTTTTGAGCCCTGAGAGGCAAAGGAATAAACCTGCAGAAACTCTGTAAAACCCCAAACTGAACGTCAGACCCCTAAACTGAACTTTAAAACCCTAAACTAAACTTCAGACCCTCAAATTAAACCCTAAACTTACCCTCAGACCCCCAAACTAAACCCTAAACTTACCCTGAGACCCCCAAACTAAACCCTAAACTGACCCTCAGACCCCCAAACTAAACCCTAAACTGCACCTCAGACCCCCAAACTAAACCCTAAACTTACCCTCAGACCCCCAAACTAAACCCTAAACCTACCCTCAGACCCCCAAACTAAACCCTAAACTGAACCTCAGACCCCCAAACTAAACCCTAAACTGATCATCAAAACCCTGAACTGCACCCCAGACCCCCAAACTAAACCCTAAAGTGACCCTCAGACCCCTAAACTGAACCTCAGACCCCCAAACTAAACCCCAAACTGAACCCCAAACTAAACCCTAAATTAAACCTCAGAAAACCTGAGTTCTTCTTGCAAATTTGGAACTCCCAAACCTTGTCCTTCAGCAGAGCAAAAAAAAACCACAACCCAATAATAAGAAAAAACCCCAATAATAAGACAAGCCAGGCTGGGAAGGGGAATTTTTTCCCTGGAGGGAGGGTTGGGATCACTCAAGGATCAATCTGATCCCGAGTCACTCGAGCCTGGTGTCACCTCAGAAGCTCCAGGAGCTGCAACCTCAAAGCAGGTCAGGCTGAAGCAGCAGGTGCTGCTTGGGAGGGAGGATTAGCAGAGTAAATAAAGGGGTTTTTCCTAAAATTATCCTGTTTCCAGCAGCAGGAGGTCGTGGGATTTTATCCCAGTTTTATTGTGTTTCCATTTGCCTTTCCCAGTTTATTCTGTTTCCTTTAGGAGGAATAAATAAAGGGGTTTTTTCCCCCAATTTTATTCTGGTTCCAGTAGCAGGAGGTTGTTCCCAGATTTATTCTGTTTCCATTTGCAGTTGTGGGATTTTATCCCAAAGTTATTCTGATTCCATTAGCAGGAAGTTGTGGGGAGGTGGTTTTTTTTTGGTTTTTTTTTTTTTTTTTGAGGTTTTTCCCAAATTTATTCTGTTCCCACTATCAGTTGTGGTTTTTTCCTAATTTATTCTGTTTCCTTTAGGAAGAATAAAAAAAGGGTTTTTCCCAATTTATTCCTTTTCCAGTAGCAGGAGGTTGTGGGATTTTATCCCAAATTTACTCTGTTTCCATTTGCAGTTGTGAGATTTGATCCTAAGTTTATTCTGGTTCCATTAACAGGAAGTTGTGAGGTTTATCCCAAATTTATTCTGGTTCCATCAGCAGGAGGTTGTGGGATTTTATCCCAAATTTATTCTGTTCCCATTAGCAGTTGTGGGATTTTTTTCCTAAATTTATTCTGTTTCCTTTAGCATGAATAAATAAAGTTTTTTTCCCAATTTATTCTGGTTCCCGTAGCAGGAGGTTGTGGGATTTTATCCCGAATTTATTCTGTTCCCATTAGCAGTTGTGGTTTGTTTGTTTGTTTGTTTTTCCCAAATTTCTTTGGTTGAGGTTGTGGATTTTTTCCCAAATTTATTCTGGTTCCATTAACAGGAAGTTGTGGGTTTATCCCAAATTTATTCTGGTTCCATTAACAGGAAGTTGTGAGGTTTATCCCAAATTTATTCTGGTTCCATCAGCAGGAGGTTGTGGGATTTTATCCCAAATTTACTCTGTTCCCATTATCAGTTGTGGGATTTTTTTTCCCAAGTTTATTCTGTTTCCATTTGCAGGAATAAATAATTTGGGTTTTTTTTCCCAACTTTATTCAGTTCCCATTATCGAGCTTTTTTCACAATTTATTCTGTTTCCATCAGCAGGAACTTGTAGAGTTTTTTTCCCATATTTCTTTTGTTCAGGTTGTGGGGTTTTCCTCAATTTATCTTGTTCCCAGTAGCAGGAGAATTATAAATTTCTTTCCCAATATATTCTATTTCCATTAGCAGTTATGGGGCTTTTCCCCCAATTTATTCCTTTTCCATTAGCAGGAATTTGTAGGATTTTTTCCCCCAAAATTTCTTTTATTGAGATTTTGTTTTTTTTTCCCCAAATTTATTCTGTTTCCATTGTCAATCATGAGATTTTCCCCAAATTTATTCTGTTTCCATTATCAATTATGAGATTTTTTTCCTCAATTTATTCTGTTTCCACTACCAATTGTGTTTTTTTTTCCAATTAGTCTGTTTCCATCAGCAGGCTCTTATGAGGTTTTTTATTCCCATATTTACTTTATTTTCCTTACATGAGGGATTTTTATTTCCCTCTGTTTGGATCCAGAGCCCAAAGAACAACACGGAAAAGATGACAGAGCCTTGGAGTGGGATCAGCACCACCTGTCAAAACACGATTAAAACTACAATTAAACCACCAAAACACCTGATTAACCTCCCTATTAATTAATATTTATTATTCTTATTTAACCCCCACCTCAATCCACCCTTTTCCAGCTGCTTTTATCCCTCTGAGCCACAGATGGGGCCACCCCTTGTTTTCTCCCAGTCCTGAAAACTGCTGAAAAAGTGATTTTTGTATTTTTTTTCTCACTTTTTATATCCTGGGAGGGAAGATTTAATCCACCTGTTTCCTGCTCTCCCCTTTCCCTGCCTTTCAGGATCCTTCCCAACCTGCCCAGAGCGTTTTCACCCTCCTAAAATCCAATTTTTAAGGTGTTTTTTTGCTGTTTAACCCCTCCCCCAACCCCTTATTTTTTATTCCCACCCCCCCGGGTTTTATTTTTCCTTCCTCCTGTTGAATTCCTGAGCCAACTGGTTGGGAAATTTTAATTCCCTAATCCTGCCAGGGTTTGTTAAAGGGCTGTGTGATGTAACCATATTCTCAATAAAAACTTTTAGAGGTTTTATCTCCCACGGAAAACCAGCTCAAAGCGGGGCTGTTTCCCAAAATTAATTCCAGGAGAGGGAATTTTAGGGAGAAATCGAATTTTCAGGCAGTAAACCCTATTTTTGGGGACCTCCTGCTTGTGTCTCTAACAGCCCCCTAGTGAATTCCTTCAGTGGGAATTAGGAATAATCCTGGAAAAAAGGAGGATTTTCCAGCCCTGGGGTGGGTTTTCCTGGTTTTTGTGTTGTTGGGATAACGTGGGGATCACTTGGCCGCTTCTCCCCTGCTGGGCTGACTCAAAAACCTCGTGGATTAAAAAGAGGGATAATTAATAATTCCAGCTGACAGCTCTGGCTGCCCAAATACCTCCCGGACCAACTGGATCTGGAAACAAAGCAGGGGCTGAGAGTTCTCCTTTTCCAGCTGCTGCACTTGGAAAAAATCCCCTTTTTTATTATTATTTTGAGGATAAAACTTTGTGTTTTAGGGAATGTTGTTGCTGCTGGGGGGGA